AAATAACAGGCAAAACTGCAGCTCAAAAATAGGTATTTTTGGCTTCTACCCCACTCCCCCAGCAGGTATGAAGGGTAAAAAGCAGACAGGAGCAAAATGCTGAACATGATCTTTGAGTTCGTGTTAAATTCCAGAAATATTCTAGGTTGAGAATGGTGTTATTGGAGAGAGATTCTGCATGTGTCCGTCCTCCTCCCCTGTCTCTTGTCCAACCTGTGCGTGCACGGAGCACGACCATCATCCAGGAGGAGTTTTGGGGGCTGGACAGTGACTGTTCCCATCCGCACAGCATCCGGTCGTGGAGGAGAAGCCGAATCCTGGCTCTTCTGGGGCAACTTGTGTGTTTTGGGGTAGGGAAGGACTTGTGGAAATGTGCTTTGGCTGTGGGATAGTTGTGGTCGTTCTCGTGGCTCCGGTAGGTCCTTACATTCCCGCCCAGGACACACGGCAGCATCCTGACAGACCAGGAACCCGTGTTTGGTGTCGTGGGACGTGCTGGTGGTTCAGGAAACGTGGCAGCGAAATGAAACCAGGGTGACCCGGGCTTACAGGAACGTGGCCCTTGTTGGGATGCCTCCAGGAAGACGGATTTGGCGCTTTTGTGAGAGCAGATTTGAAGTATTTTGGGTGTGGAAAGGAAGGGGAAGGAAAGGACAAGCGAGTGATTTTGTGTGTGTGTGTTGATAGTTCTCGAACCAGTGGAAAAGCTCCTGCAGAGAAAACGAAATTGCAATAGAAAGTAGGTGTTGCGATTAGTCAGAGGCCGCGAGGAGGCTTTTCCCCTTTTGGAGAGGATCGGAGAGGAAACGTAGCCGTTGTTCCCTGGGTTTGCTCACAAGCGCCTAGACGGAATCCGTGAGCTTGGCCCGCTTTCCGAGCTCCCGCTCGTGCCCAGCTCCGCGTTTCCCGGAGCGATGGGAGAGCGTCGCGGGTCGCTCCGTCCCAGCGCCCTCCTTCCTCTTCCCGGCGTTCCCGAGCGCGCTGGAGCCGGCCAGGGCACTCACTGTGGATCTGCCCTCCCCCGGGGGGCTTTTTCCTTCATCTCCAGCGTTTCTCCTTCTTTCATCTCCGCGTTTGCTCATAACAAAACTCGTACTGGAGAGGTAAATAGTGGGTCCCCTTCCTATAGAAGCGCACTCACCATCTGCAGCTTGTGCGGGCCGTGCTGGGGCCCGCAGCCCTTTCCCCCGCAGCCCCTCGGTCGGGTGCCGGCTCGTGCTCCTCTTTTCCCACTTTTCCAGCATGGTTTTGTTGTGGTGTGAGCAGGAGGTGTGACGAGTGCCCGCTCGTCAGCAGCGCTCACAAACCCGCGCTGGCATCGGCGCCGCTTGGGCAACCAGGCGCAGCTGGAACGGTTATCGTCTCCGGGTCCCCGTGGGCTTCCGCTATCAGGTCACATCCCAAAATAACACTGGGCAGTATTTCAAGCGAAGAAACTCAGGCTTTGGGGCTGCAGCCAGCCTGGAGTGTGAGATTCTGTGTGAAATAGTTGGAATCCCTCCAGCGTTTTTGATCTGCATGGCAGATGAGCAATAAAATGCATTAAAAAAAAACCACATTGGAAACACGTGAGGAAATTCTCCAGCCCCTGACGTTTCCTTCGAGTTGGCAGAGTTACTGCTGCTCGGGCTCACCTCCCGGCTCGGCTCCGTTGGCCGCGCTTCCGGAGGAGGGAAGGGGGAGCCCTCCCCGTGCTCCGCTGCGTTCCCGGTCGGATCCTCCGCGGGGACACGGCAATCCTCGCCGGCCCTGGGCTCCTTGGGCTCCATCCAGAAGCCACCGAAGGCAATAATGCTCCGTTGTTCCTGCTAGGTCATTTTTAGTTTATTATTTATTTATCTATTTATTACATTATTGCCGTTTTTCGACTGGAACTTCTCTGCTGTAGCTGTACTTAAATCAGACTGGAAAAATATTTATTATTCCCCCTCCAGTTTGTGGTGCACTTCAGTAAATAGGATACGAGAGTCTGAGTGTGCCCTTTAATGCTTAAATATAAAACCCTACCCCTGCCATCCCGAGAAAATACCTTGATAGGCAGAAAACAGCTCCTTACCGGTGAGCTGGCAGCCCTTGGATGTTCCTGCTTCTTTCCCTCATGGAATTTGTGCTCTCTGAGAAACCTATGGGCTTGCACAATTCCAAGCTGAATGGTACCAAATTGGGGCCGCATCAGCACCGCACAATTTGCCTGTCTTTGGGAAGGGCCGTATTGTTGGGATTCATAGAACTCGATGGAAATTTAGGGAAGCGGCTTCTTGGCTTCTGCGATTTGCAGGGAAGTGTCCTGCTCGGGTTCATGCGCGTCGCATTAACGTCCTGGAAGGTTTAAATGTTAAAAGTGAGTTTTGTTCTCACACTGTGAGAGCCTCAGAGCTGGGCGGCCTGGGCTGCCTCCCCATGAGGTCCCTGATGGTTTCTTAGCGCTGCAGAGGGGCCCTCGCTCGCGTGTCTAGAGCAACCCGGTATTAACCCACCTAATTAAAACTGAACGGTTTAGGTGGCTTGCAGTGCTTAGGGCAAGCTTTGCTGCATGGGTTGAAGGCATCAGCTTGCAAGATTTTTATCTAGTTACTCAGGAGTTAATATTCCAACAGGTTTTAACACTGCTTCATCTCCCGTGTTGCAGATATATTCGTGGCTTGGCATTACCAAGACATGTGCCTTTATTTTTCCCATTTCACATATGAATATTGCTGGTATCGTGTAGAGGACAGGGGCCACCTCTGATCCTGGAGGCAAACACCCTCTTTCACCTCTTGGAGGTCCCTTACAGTCCTGACAACAGGAGAATGAAAATGTCAGAAAGAAAGTGGAGTATTTGGATGCATTTGGTGATTCAGTAGCTTGAAGTATTCCAGGAAAATGCCAACAAACAGTAGAAATAGTTTAGGTTGGACTGAATTGGCTTCTGGACGTTGTGAACCCCCTGACTAGTGGGGAACTGTGATGTACAACATACACCAAGGACTGAAGTTAGGTGGGGTTAATCTGCCTCTTAAACAGGAGTCGCAGAGGGGAAAGGAGCTTTTTTCTCTTTGTTTGATGTTTTCTCATGCGGAATGTTGGACGTACTGTCCTTTTACTCCCACTGTGGATGACTTTCGCTGTGCGAATGTGGGTTTTGTCAAAGTTGTCTGGGGAAAAAGAAACAAGTAGCTGCATGAACTAGCAATACCCTTGATGTTATTTGCGATAGGAGGGTAATGCACATAGCAAGTTCTCGTAGACACTATTTATTTATTTATTTTCCGTGCAAATTTGTCGCTTTCATAGAAATAAAACGCAGCTTTTTTTTCAGGAAGGTCTTAGTGCAGCAGTAAGCAAATCTACCTCTGAGACTGTCTTGCAGGAAATGATGTCCCAGACAGAAGCAGTGACGGCAGGGGAGGAAGGACGTGCTGTGCACTAAGCCATCCCACCAAGGGACAGGTGTTTGCAGCCCAAACGTAACATTTGCCAGCGTTTGTTAGAACCCCTTTGACCAAATTTTACTGTCCCAATAGACAAGATTGCACTCTTGCTGCAGACATCTGCGTGCCATCCAGGTGATACCCAAGTGTCGCATTTACTTGTCCTTTGAATGTCGCTGTCTACCCAACAAGTGTGATGATCTGGTATCTGCTGGAGCTTTTTTATTCCTCTGTTACTCCAGTTTTCCACTTCCTAGGAGGTGCTGGAGCTCTGCTCCCCGGCCGAGACGCTGGTCGTGCTGTCAGTGCCCTTTTGCCCATCACCTGGCAGGTCTTAGGGAGTGATGGGCTCTTTGTTGCCTCTGTGGGCTGGTAACTTTGCAGGATCTGGTGTGTGAGGTCCTTCTGCATCGCACAGAGCTGGGAAAGTGTTATCTGAACTGCTGCTAAGCAAGGAATCGTCCAGTCAGTGTAAATGAGACCAGAGCACCCAAGTTATTTATCAGTTGGCTTAACCTTTCTGCGTGGTGTTTGAGAAGAGGTTGGCTCTGTTTGAGCTGGTCAGATGAATCTCATTTGGATCCAAAAGGACTTCAAGGCTCAGGCCAGAGCACTTCTCATCCAGGGTTAAGCACTCCAATTTGCAAAGGGTAGGTGCAATCCGGGTAAGCTTGGACCTGCCACCTCCGCGCCTGCTGAATCTTCTGAATCGCCGGCCCGGATTTTATCTAATCCATGGAATAGTTACGACTTCCCAGCGTCTCTTCTAATGTGCCACTGCTGCCTATTCATCTTCCCCGGTCTTGGACGGTAACAGCTTCATTTACTGCAGGCCAAGTCTGGATAGATGATGCCCCTTGTTATCAAACAGTCGGTCCAACTGCGCCCGCTGGGTTTATGTGGCCCCGTTTCACCGACTCGCCGGTGGTTTTTTGGTGCTGTAGCTTTGTGGCAATTGGAGATTTCATCTCTCTCAAACAGGCTGTTCATGCTCCTGTCTTTCAGGGTGGGTATTTCTGCCCTCCGAGAAAAAGCTGAAGTTTAAAAACTGGCATTGTAATTGCTATTTTTTTTCCTCTGTCTCTGAAGAAGTGGGAACCCTGAAAAATGCCTCGCAGTTTTAAATCTCTGTATTTAGCTTGTTTTTATCCATCTCAAGTGAGTGGCTTCCTGGCTCACCTAAGGTTTAGGAATTAATTATGGGGAGATAGGAGTTCTCTGTCCTCCAGAGGCCACGTTTCTCTTCCAAGTCGTGATCATGTGGACCATCTCCCCCTTGGCAATTTTGTAAATACTGGGGATACGTTCGTTAATTTCTAGCTGAATCAACTGAATAACTTGAATTAAAAGAAGCAAATAAGAGAATTGGCCAGTTTTCTGGACCATCAGCGAGCACTTGGCACCCCGGCCAGGGAACTCCCGGGTTCAGGACCATTGCAGTCACCTCCACCTGTGCAGCTCCGTAACGTGAGCGGGTTCATGGATCCGGGTTTGGAGTAAGCCTGAGGGGGATGTGTTCATGGCAGTGGGTGAGGGAACACTCACTTCTCTTTGCTTTTGCCTGATCTGTTTCTCTGTGTATTGCAGGACCTGTCCGGTTCGATAGATGATCTGCCCATGGGTACAGAAGGAGCCCTGAGTCCTGGAGTAAGCACGTCAGGGATTTCCAGCAGTCAAGGAGAGCAGAGTAACCCGGCTCAGTCTCCTTTCTCTCCACATACCTCTCCTCACCTGCCAGGCATCAGAGGACCCTCCCCGTCCCCTGTTGGATCTCCTGCTAGTGTTGCTCAGTCCCGCTCTGGTCCGCTCTCACCTGCTGCAGTACCAGGTATCGCTGTTTGGCCCGTGTCAATCCTGTGGTGCAACCGCCTCATGCAGCTGAAAAGGGAATTAAAACGGCTACCGAGGAGGAATTGGCCAGTGACAGTGTTACAGGATCATTAAGATCTTGTGTTTCATTTTATGTTTTAAACCGTGTCCGTAATCGGAAAGCACGCAGCGAGAAGGGTGGGCTGCCTAACAAACCAACAGCATCATTTTTCCAAAGTTCAATAAGGAAATATTCATGTGACTGATGTTCCCTTTCCTCTTCCTTGCTGGAGCAGACATGAGCTGCTCTTGAAAATATTTGTAGTTCTGGTGTGTAGTTCTCTCGCATCCTGGCTTTTGTGGTGTGCATGTTTTGTTTTTGGCTAACCACGCTCCTTTCTGTTGCCCAGGCAATCAGATGCCACCCCGACCGCCTAGTGGCCAGTCGGACAGTATCATGCATCCTTCCATGAACCAGTCGAGCATCGCGCAAGATCGAGGTGTGTGACACGAGTTAAAAGCTCTAACTAAAAGAGCTTGCAAAGCTAGATAGATACAGCATTAAAAATACTTGGCTTGACAGCATGGATTCTGGTGAGACAATGCTTAAAAAACTAAAAGTTGCCCCAGCTTTATAAGCTGCAGGTGCTTCAGGCACATTGCAGGAAATTCAGCTGCTGGCCATGCTTTACCAGACTCTTTAATGTTTCATCCAACCTAGTGGTTTGACTTGTAAGGTGTTTTCTCTGGCTTTTGAAACATGTTTCTGTGCATGTTGCTTCTGAAGGATAAGTTACATAGACCGTGGAGAATGAGGGCTGCTTGTAATGGACTGATGTGCCCTGTAAGAGAAAAAAGGTGGGGAGAACTGTGTATAATTTTGGCTTTTATGCTGAAAATACACAGTTGTCACCCTTTTGACCCTGTCTGAGTTATAGTCTGAGTTATGTTTTCTACTTCTGTGATACTCGTTTTTCCCTGATTAAAAAGGGAAGTTAAGTATATTGCTCCCTTACTAGCAACTACTAAGGCTGTTACTGGAGGGGTTTTGTTAGTGAGTTGCACTAATAATTACATGTTTGTGTCTCAGGTTACATGCAGAGGAACCCTCAAATGCCTCAGTACAGCTCGCCCCAGCCCGGCTCAGCCTTATCTCCCCGCCAGTCCTCTGGAGGACAGATGCACGCGGCGATGGGGCCGTACCAGCAGAACTCCATGGGGAGCTACGGACCCCAGAGCGGCCAGTACGGACCTCAAGGTGAGAGACCTCGAGGCACAGAGAGCTGCTCAAGGTGGCAGCTGAGCTCAGGAATGTGCAAGACCTGTTTCTGCTGAATATCTCTTGTCTTTGATAAACTGTGTTTATTTGTCTCCTCTCGCTGCGTGGGTAATGCAAAACAATACACTCCTTATAAGCTGGAAGGAACAGTGCTCTGTGTAGCCTGTTAGAGACTGATGAAATACCCTGCTTTTGGGGGTAGCTGTACTTCTAAATGCAGGCTGCTTCCTCTTGGTTTAAAAAGATACAGGTAGTGTCTCAAGTGCAGTGGCAAAGAAGATCTGGTCCTCTTTGGAGAAGAAATTTGATAGTGTTAAATGTTTTGAAAAGGGTTAAGGGTTTTTTTGTTTGTTTTGCATCCTGTCCTGGATCGTTGAGCTCATTCTGCTCTGTTGAGGTTTGGGAGAGTTTCAGGCAGCTTTTGCATCGATGTTGTTACTTGGCTGTGTCAAAACACATTTTACGTGGCTTATATCCAAGTACTTGACTTTTTGTTGAGGTGTTAACACTCCCCCTCATCTCTGTTAGTGATCTTTAAATATTTGCTGATTGAAGATTTTTATAGTGATTCATAAACTAACCGGTTGAATGATGTTGTCTTCCCCTCTTTTTATCTCCTTAGGAGGTTATCCCAGGCAGCCAAACTACAATGCGATGTCCAATGCCAACTACCCCAGTCCAGGAATGGGAGGAAGCATAAACCCCATGGGAGCAGGGAGCCAGATGCACGGGCAGAGCGGCGTGCCCCCGTACAGCGGGCTGCCCCCGGGGAGGATGAGCCACGCGGCCATGGGGAACAGGCCCTACGGACCCAACATGGCAAACATGCCCCCGCAGGTGGGCACGGGGATGTGTCCCCCGCCGGGTGGCATGAACCGCAAAGCACAAGAGGCGGCCGCCGCCGCCGCCATGCACGTTGCTGCCAACTCCATCCAGACCAGGTGAGGAAGGAGAGTTCCTTGGGGCTCGTGTTGGCTCCCTTCCCCGCGTCACGTCCAGGGGATAACGCGAAGCTGGGGGAACGCTGAATGCATCCCTCCTTGGAGGCATGTTCATCAATCTCAGAGGTTTCACAAGAACAAAAGTTGGATGGGCAGAGTTTCTGAATATGCCATCATTGGTGTGTTGAGGGAATTTCTCATATTCGTAAGAGAAATCTGTTTAACTTGGATATCCTTTCAGTTGGTTTGGCTTTCTGGTCCGCTTTGTGGGATCAGTGACTTACAAGATGCTGTGTGTGTGGTAGAGCCCATAAATCTAGTAGACAGCCTTCCAGCTGCATTTGTCTCCACCAAGGCATTGCTCGTCCAGTGTAATGAACTTTTTCCTTTTAGGGTCTTAATGAGCAGCTATGAAACAGGAGCTGGAATTCAGCACTAAATTTGCAACTGTGTTCTGGGGTTTTTATTTTTATTACTATTCTGCATTTCAGAGTAGGTATATGTTGCCTATCAGAATGCCATGAAAGCCATAAACTTGATTATAAATGGAGTTTCCCCCAGTAAAGCTGTTAATTTGGATGGATTTGTGGTTTAACTGGACACTGTGCTCTCTACGCTGACTTGCATTAAGGGTTTTGTGGGTGTCTGTGTTCATTGCCTGATGTTACCCATCACTGCTAAGAGGTCAAGCTTCCAAACACCAATAAAGGCTTGAATTCAAAGCTTTCAAATAACAGCCTTAGTGATGGCTGTGTACAAAGTTTCCCAACATCTACATTTAATGCTGTGTAGCTTATATTACTAATAAGGAGGGGAGAGTCATTAAAGTGTGTGGGATACTGTACACTGTATACATGCCCATATATACAGATAGTATATTTTTATTTAAATGTGGAGAGCTGCAGAGCTTGCAGATCTATTCCTCCCTGTAGAGGTGACTTAACAGCTGAAATGAAGTTTGGGAATGCAGTAGTTGAAGATGTGAAAATGTTCAGAACTGAAGCTGCTCCTTCAAAACCATTTGCATCTCCTTCTCTTTTGAGAATGAGGCTTGGGGTCTAGAGTAGTTTAAGTTACAAGAGCTCCTGATCTTTGGTTAACTTTGGTGGAAGGAAGGGTGGTCTGGAGAAAGTCACTTCACTTCTACAGAAAGTCTCTTTTGGTGAACCTGCTTTGGTAGAAGATACGATGATGGTATTGAATATTTGGAATAAAAGTCTGTTTATTCCTGCTCTTCTTTAGGCCTCCTGGTTATCCCAACATGAACCAGGGGGGGATGATGGGGACTGGACCTCCTTATGGACAGGGAATTAACAGTATGGCTGGCATGATAAATCCCCAGGGCCCTCCCTATCCAATGGGCGGGAATATGGCCAACAACTCTGCAGGTAAGGCTTCCCACTCGCTGGGACTCGCACCGATTCCGTGGTACTGGCTTAAATTCAGTGTTAAAGCTTCTCTTTAACTTTCTAGGGATGGCATCAAGTCCTGAAATGATGGGTCTTGCGGATGTCAAATTGACACCTGCTACTAAAATGAACAATAAGGCAGATGGAACACCAAAAGCAGAATCCAAATCAAAGGTAAAATGTTTTTGTTTTCTGATTTTTTTTTTTTTTAATGAACTCTCATCTTCCCCAGTGTCCAAGGCAATAAAATCATCCGTGTTGACTTGGGTTGCTCAAGGGTGTAGGGAGCGAGTTGGATATCCGCTTTTGGGCTGTGTTATGCTTCGGAGCATTGTTAGAGAAATAAGTGTCTCATAGTGTATGTGGAAATGTGTTTTAGATTAGGCTCTGGCTATATTTGCAACATATTACCTGGAAGCAAAAAGGATTTGGAGTTGCCAGTGATTAGATTAGGAAACCATACATGGAAGAGAGACCTAAAGGATTTTAGGACCTCTAAAATGTCTACTGGATGCCTGATACACCTGGAGAATTGGTCCCCATTTCTAAATACCCAGGCATCTGTCACCCAGGGGCTGCTCGGGCTGTGCCAGTGGTTCCAAGAGGATTTTCCAGGAAGATTCACACAATTGAAGAATTTACTTTTGCAATTCATCACCTCTTCAGTTCAGAACTGAAGGAAAGCCCTTTCCTCGCAGGGCTTCCAGGAGTGTTTCTGAGCGCTTTGGGAGTAATCAAACTCAACGGCAAAACAACTTCATGTTTTAGGAATTATCACCCGTCATGATGAAACTGCCAAGAGAAGTCTAAACAAACCTGGGTTTGTTTCTGGTGCAGGCTTGGAATTAGTCAGTTATCACCTCTCAGCTGGGAGGTGGTAAACTGGAGCACTGCAGTTGTTTCACAAACAAACATCTTACTAATCCCTGCATTAAAGCCAGAAAAAGGAAGCAAACAAGTTCTTCAGGGAGTCTTTTTCTTGGTGTTACTGTTGTGGTTTCAAAAGAACCTCCAAAAAAGCCATTTTTCACCCTGAGCCCTTGGTCTCATTTGTCTGCTACTTGAAGGAAAATACACTCTGCAAGCTCGACGCTGGTACCGGCGTGTGCAGGAAGATTTCGAAGCTCTCCCACTGCTGCTCATGTGCTCTGGTAGCCGCCTTTCTATTGATGAGAAATAAGGACTTGAATGCTCTTGAACGAGGAGCCTCCTGGAAGCTGCAAATAAGGAACGTTGTGTCCTCCTGGCCTGCAAGGATTATCTCGTGCTGACGGGCTTCCCTCCACAACATGAAGCACACAGTAGTGCTTTTGAGTTCAGGAATGTTAGTTTTACTTCTGTTGTGCTCTTTCCCCAAAGAGGCCAGTACCACGTGCTGGGCTTAATGACCATGATGTTCGATTTGATGTTCAGGATGGGGCATCAGCCTCTTTCATGCCCTTGTTGCACTGAGACTGGCTGCAGCTCCTAACTTTCCATATCCCGTCTTCCTGGATACTGATGCACGAGCAATAGGAAGCCCATATGGGAACTTGTGTCACATCTGGATAGCAGGAGACCTCTGCGTTTCTGTCAAGGAATAGAGATCATCTGGGAGAGGTTCCCCTCATATCGGTCAAGCAGTTGCTTGGAACATTATTATTTTTATTCTCCTTGCACTGTTTTTCGCCAGTTTATTCTGGCACCCTCTCCTTGGGTAAAAGGACAGACTGGAGGGCAGTATTCGCCATGGCAGAGTGCAGCAGCCCATGGGAAGCTCATTTGCAGTTGAAATAGAAGCTTTTCTCACGTATTTAGCAAGGAAGTCTGCAGAGGAGCTCTCAAAGAGATGGCTCTCTGCAGAGTCTCCTTGGGGTTTGTTTGGTTTCTGTAGCATTTCCAAACCCTTTCACTTATTTTTAAAGAGATATTCTGTGAATTCCTCAAGCGGGAGCTGGTTTCTTAATACTTTTGTCAAGTAGCACTTGCCTTGTAGACTGACCTTGATCTAAAACAAGTGTAGGCCTCACATAAGGCCTACATATAACAGCAGAATTCTGACTTCTTGAACTTTCATCTGACTGGTTTTAAAACCGTCTTGGATGTGAACCGGCTGGTTTTGTGCGCTCAGTCCTGATATCTTTTTGTTTCTCCTAGAAGTCCAGTTCTTCTACCACAACCAACGAGAAGATCACCAAACTCTACGAGCTGGGTGGCGAGCCTGAAAGGAAGATCTGGGTAGATCGGTATCTAGCCTTTACTGAAGAGAAGGCCATGGGCATGACCAACCTTCCAGCGGTAGGCAGGAAACCCTTGGACCTTTACCGGCTCTACATCTCCGTGAAGGAGATTGGAGGATTGACTCAGGTGAATGCTCTGGTAGTCACAAGTCAACGGAAATCACAGGTGGCTTTGTTGCTAGGTGTGAGGCATGACCACCTTTTCTGCCTGTTTCATTCATTTGGTGGTTTAAAGAAAACATACAGTGCTTATAAAACCCAGCATCTCTTTAAGTGAGCCAAATGTCTGTCTGGTCACGGCTGGTGGCGAGATCCACTTCAAGAGCTTTCCTTTCTGCTCTGGCTAGTGCAAAGATGGGTGACACTGACTGCCTTTGCATCTGGCTGTCTCTGTGGCTGGTTATTTTGCCACTTGACCTTATCCATCCCTGTTTTGAAACTGTTTTCTTGAGGGGAGAAAAGAGAAGTTTGCTCGTTCACTCTCAGAAGAGGAGAGTTTGCTCTTCCTTGTTGATAAACACTACGGAAGATGCTCCATTTAGCATCCTTTTGTTTAGTTGAAAGGTTTTGGTTTCTTCTCAGAAAGTGACTCGGGAAAGAGGTAGCTGGGATTTTGAGTTGAGAGTCTCTTATTTGGTCGTGCAGGTCAACAAAAACAAGAAATGGCGCGAGCTAGCCACAAATCTCAACGTGGGCACGTCCAGCAGCGCAGCCAGTTCTTTGAAGAAGCAGTACATCCAGTGTCTGTACGCCTTCGAGTGCAAGATTGAGCGAGGTGAAGACCCCCCTCCAGATATCTTTGCAGCCGCGGATTCAAAGAAGTCACAAACCAAGATACAACCTCCATCTCCAGGTGAGTTTAGACACTGGTTTCAGGGGTGGGATGACTCTGAAGCAGGGGATCGAGTGCAGCCGGCAGGCCTGGCTCCCCGTGCTGTGGGCCGGGGTGGTTGCAATCCTCTGCAGAGTCCCTGTGTCTGCTCCTAATCAGATCTCCTGTTAGTTGTATAGATTAAATTCTCCCCTAATGTGGGAATGAGTGATACTGGGAATGAGCCAAGCCTCTTGTTGGGTATATATCACTTTTTGTCCCCCACCCATGTACTAAGTCTTTTTAAAAGTGAAAACGTAGATATATACAAATGCATATACACACACCTCTGTGATTACTGATGCATCACTACAATATGGGAGTCTAAAGTCAACTCTTTGAGGCAATCTGTGCGTATTCTAGCAGCAGTCCTTGTTGTTGCTTAGCTTCAGGAACCTTCTAGAAAAGTGGTGCTTGCTTTGACTATGCAAGGAACTACCTCCTGGCAGTAAATGCTTGACGTGGGTGTGCACTCATCTTCCTCAGGAATTCTTTCAGTGTTTAGCAGGAGGCAGTGAGGCTTTTCTGAGGCTCTGTGCTCAGAGACCTTTGTGAGCCTCTTTGGGAGTGGGATGCTCTAGGGTTTGAGAGTTTTAAAATGAACTTTTAAAAAGTTAGGAATCCATTAATCTTTATGCTAAATGTAGTGGGAATCTCTTGTTTCTGAATGTTTAAGCATAGAGTCCAGTTCTGATTTGTTAAACAGAACAACAACAACAACAAAAAAGTAGAAAACAGCTGGGCTAGCAGGGCACGTTACACTATCGTCTGCCAGAAGTCTGATAGTTTTGGTCTCATTTGCCTTGAGTTCGTTGCTTGAGTTGCTGCTGAACTTGCCAAGCCTTTAAGCTTCAGTTTTCCAGTTTTTCTTACAAGCAAAACCCTCAGCTGCTTTTTCTGGTTTGGGAACCTGATCATGTAGGTGAAATAAAATCTTGGTCTGCTTTGAAGTTCCTCTAATGTTTGGGGAAAAAAAAATCTTTTTGGTTCTGAAATGTGGGATCTCTGTCTAGCTCCTGAGGAGTGGGATAATGAACCCTTTTTTGATTGTACTGCAGCTGTATCTCAGTCCTGCTAATCCCTTGATCAACAGTATCCTTTTCTGAATATCACTCTACTAGTGGCAACTACATTTAACTATCCCCTCTGTCAGAGAATTATATATTTTTTTTTAAGGACTGTGTCTTTTCAATAGTCAGGAAACCTGTCCCTGTGTGGATTCAGCCTTAGTGTATTTTGAAAGATGAAATGACTTTTGTGTCATTAGACTAATATTCTGGCTAAAGTGGTGCCTGAGCTCCACTTAAACTACATCACAAATCCCATCCCACTTTCTTTCCAAAAACTCTTTCTTGCCAACCGAGATGCTAGGCAGAGGAACAGAGATGTGAAGAGCATTTAGAGTCCATCTGCGCAGGGCTGAGGCGGTTGGGAAACCCCTTGAAACTTCTTGTAGCACTTGGTGCCCACTGGAACGGGTTAGATGGTGCATTAATTCTGATTTTGTTTTAGCTAAAGAGATGCTACACAAAATTCTTCAGACTGCTTCAAAGCGCTGTGTAAGACTGAGCTCCTGCTGTAGCACTGGAGCAGGAGGGGTTTGCAGGGCCGGTACCCCCGACCGCGCATCCGTGCGGCGCTCTAGGTTTGTAGGTTTAGTTCCAGCTCTGAGAGGACTGTCCTGTGTTTCCTATTGAAACTGCTCTCTGTGCTTGTCTGCACCTGGGAATGTGCAGAGCAGCACAGCTGGTGGCTCGGGTCCTTTTACCAGGTAACGCAGTGCGTTCGTGCTGCAGCTTCGCTCTGCTTTTCCTCCTCTCTTGCTCCCCTGCACCAGGAGCAGCCTGGGAGGCTGGGGACAACGTGAGTTGCTCTCTCGACCTCAGCTCTGGCCTGAGAGCCTCAGAGTCCCAGGCACCGAATCCCAAAAGGAGCCCTCCTGCTCCAGGGCTTGCTGAGGCCCCTGCAGGGCAGCACCCTCCAAGACGTCACCCTTGCTGGACAGTAACGTTCCTGTTGGAAAGTCAAGTGGAGAGAAGCGGGACTTGAAGCCCCATCGTTTGGATTTGGGGCTCGGGCTTTACCCTCCTTGCAGACTCTGTCACCCTTCAGCATTGGCTTTGCCTCCTTCCAGCCCGCTCAGTTGTGAAAACAAGCTGCATAGCTTTGTGAAGCTCACAGTGTGTGATTCTGCCTTAAACATCACTTTTTGTGGCCGCAGAGCATCTAAAGGCCTGGCTGGGCTCTTGTCTGGGTAGAACTCTTGATGCCAGAGCTGTTTTTCATGCTCTTCGTGTGCATACGTAACCCTCCAAAGCCCAAAATCCCTCCAGAAGGGCCTTGCCTGGAGCGGCCTGGGTATGGCCTTGTGTTCAGCATGGGCTTCCTGCAAACTTTCTTGGGTCCTTCTTGCAAGCGGCAGGGAGATAGAACCAGCCTGCGCTTGGGTGTTAAATCCCGGAGCGTGGAATTGGCCTGGCTCCGAGCGGGTGTAAATTGGTGAGTGGGAGGGACAGCAGGGGGTGGGGACAAACACCAAATGGCAGCCACGCGGGGAGCGTCTTGGGGGCCTCTTCCTGCCCGCGACAGTAACGCACTGGAGAGGAGCGGGAATCCCCGGGGGCAGGAGGGGATCGAGCGGCTGCTGCCGGGCACGGAGAGCGCCGGGGAGGACTCATGAATGAAGCTCCCCGCTGAGCTCGGCTCTGCCCTTCCTTCTCCGGAGACCTCTCCGGGCCAGGAGGGAGTCGCGGAGCTGAGGACAGGGTGCCAGGAAGGTGGGGTGTAAACAAACATGGCCTGGACGTGACCTCGGAGGATTTTAATGAATAGCTGAAATGACTCATCAAGCAGCAGGGCTGAAGCTGAGGGATATCGGGTGCCGGGGCTGGTAACTAATGGAAACATTAATTAAGAGTTCAGCTCTTGCCAGCTGCAAGGAGCGGCCGAACCTGCGAGCTGCCGCTGCAGGGGCAGAGCGGAGCTCCCAGCGCGCGGCACCGCACGAGGGGCCCGGGACTGCGCTGGGAACTCGCTGGGAACTCGCTGTGGCAAAAAGCAGCGCATGCCGAGCCCAGGAACTTGCCGGACGAGTTTTCAGTAAAAGATCCGGCATCTCCGGCATTCCCTGTTCCAGGAATCCTTGGGAGTGGTGCTTGAATTAACCTGCCCGAATTAACCCACTGGAAGGGCACGGCAGACAGAGGAGCCTTGTGCAGAGCTGCGTGGGGTCTTCAGCCGAAGTGCTGCAGTTTGTCACGTACAAAGGACGTGGCACTGCAGGAGGGGGCTCAGTTCTACCCTCCTTCCTGGGTGGAAAGCGACTGTGAAGGCAATGGGACTGTAGAATCCCGTCCTCATGGCGCACTGTAGAGCCTCCCCCTTGGAACCTAGGTAGCCTGGGGAGCGTGACTGCGCTGGTGGCAAGGGGCATGAAGGGACACGTGGTTGAGAACGGAGGCCTGGCAAAAATAAGCATGTCCTGAGCTTTACATTGCTGAGTGTGGTGGTTCTGGAGGGCCTGGCCCAGGGGGACGTCCCTGCAGCGTTGGACTCCTTGTTCTCCAGCCCTGTCTCACCTTCACTGTCTTCAAGGATTCCTCGCACGCTCTTGTAGGGGCTGCTGTCCCGGGAGGTTCTGGTTGCATCCGTCAAGCACGGAGCCGCTCACGCGTCGTTTCTCTTCTTGCAGCGGGCTCAGGCTCCATGCAGGGTCCTCAGACGCCTCAGTCCACCAGCAGCTCCATGGCAGAGGGAGGAGATCTAAAGCCGCCAACTCCAGCGTCCACCCCACACAGTCAGATGCCCCCTTTGCCCGGCATCAGGTACGAAGCCATCACAGCCTCTCCCAGCCGGGTGGCCGCGAGGTTGTCTCCACATCACTACCTCGTGGGGCTCCAAGGCCTTCCTCCTCTGTTAATGGCTCACAGAAGCGCCACTGACTCCACATCTCTCTCTGTGTCTGTGTGATTTGTGCCTGGGGGTTTGGGGCTGGGAGGGTGTTGCAGAAGAACATATGAGGTGAAGAATCCTGCAGAGCGTCATGGGCTTCTGTAACCTTGGTTTGTGGGTTTGGGGTTTTCTTTGTTTGTTTTTGAATCAGAAGCAACTCAGTGGGCCTTCAGGATGCCTTTGCAGATGGCAGCGATCCCACGTTCCAGAAGCGGAACTCCATGACTCCCAATCCAGGTTACCAGCCCAGCATGAATACCTCCGACATGATGGGTCGCATGTCTTACGAGCCAAATAAAGATCCTTACAGCAGTATGAGGAAAGGTGAGGAAGTCTTTGCCTGCTCCTCTCCCTTTTTTCCATGAGTGCTAATCCCTGTATCTGGCCACACGCTGGAATGTGTTGTCAGAGTATTTAGACCTTTTGCTTGCCCTCCTTCCCTTAGAAGAAGGGATTTGTCTCTAGATTTGGTGTTGACATGATATATGCTGATCTTGCTTTCCTTCTTTCAGCCCCGGGAAGCGATCCCTTCATGTCCTCAGGGCAGGGCCCCAACAGTGGTATGGGTGACCCTTACAATCGTGCTGCAGGTCCAGGGATGGGTAACATGGCCATGGGACAGCGGCAACACTATTCCTACGGCGGTCCTTACGACAGAGTGAGGTGGGTGCTCGAAACCAGCGTCAACCTGGTTTGCTTGACACGTGTGAAATGTTGGCCTTCTCACCACCACAGAGCCTTTCCTGACCTTCCTTCTCCATTTGAGCAGCAAAAGTGAAATTAAGTGATGTGTAGGGGTTTTTTTTCCTGATTTTTTTTTCTTTTTTCCTGTGTAGGACGGAGCCTGGCATGGGACCTGAGGGCAGTTTAGCTACTGGAACTCCGCAGCCCAACATCATGCCTTCCACCCCGGAGTCGGGGATGTACTCGCCCAGCCGCTACCCGCAGCAGCAGCAGCAAAGGTCCGTGTAGGGTATTGCCACAAAGTTCCTGCCACGGGGGGAGCTTTGAGACCGTTTAAAAGGAAATACACTTCTGATGAGAGGAGTAACACGTCTGTTTCTTCTCTAGACATGATTCCTATGGCAATCAATTCTCCACTCAAGGCACATCCTCGGGCAGCCCCTTCCCTAGCCAGCAAACTACCATGTATCAGCAGCAACAGCAGGTAAGTTACCGGAAAGCTTCCAGTTTGGTTGACAGAGAGGAGGAGTTTTACCTGTGCGAGGTGTGAGAAGCAGAGGATGAAGACACCTTGGGCTGTGGGTTGGCTTTGTGGACACGTAGGGGTTAGAATGAAGGTACCTTTCACAGGTGCTTGGCCCTTGATAGTTCTGGTGAGCTGTTTGGGGTGGATCATTGCACACAACCTGCTCAGCCTGCAGGCGAAGGCTTCAGAGCTGCCTCCGCTCCCCTGTCGCCCCATTGCTGCTCCTCCTCAGAGCTTTCATCTGGGGAGAGTTTGAATGAATGTACATCTCTTTCTATAATCCTTATATATAACTTGCTCTTTGTGTCAGTGCCAGGACCCATAATATTTTCCTGATAATTCTGAGTCCTCAGGTTGAGGAGAGTATAGAGAGGGCACTTGCAGAGCTGTGCTAAGAATAAATCTAACTGCTTTGCAGTTTGGCTCTGCAACCAGAGCCACGGGGCCCTGAGCCAAGAGTTCAAGTTTCTCTGGCACTTGTCATCTCTAAAGTCCTAGAGCTCCATCTGAAGCCAGTCGTGACAGCAGAGCTTCTGAATTGACTGGGTAGTAGTAGGAACACAGAGCCCTGGAGGCAAGAGGGATCTGGGGTTTAATTTTGTTTGGGCAATTGACTGTTTTCTCCATTGACACTTAGTAGAGGGAGAGAACAGTTCTTGCTCCTTTCAGTGATGTGTTTTGAAATCCAGATTGGTTTGTGGTGAAAGTACAGTAGGGCTGAGCCTTTTCTACAGGAAAGTCCTTTCTGTGGACAGATTTCCACCCCCAGGGCATCCTTGTGGGATCCACAAGGAAACAGTACAGCCTGACGCAAGGAATTGGCTTTGCTCTGTGGAACCAACAGGTCGATCTCACTTCAGATCGGATGTAGCTTAGAAGAAAAGCGGGGGGAAAGGACGTGTCCCCACGCCATGGGGATGCTCCGTGGCTCTGCAGCGGGCGCGATTGCTTCTTTCTAACCCCCCGCCTCTCCTGTTGCCGCTCCCTTGT